AGAGAGAGAGGGGGGGGTGCAGAAATTTCTCGAAACGAAATTTCGAGAGTCTAGTCAGCGCAGTTTCGGACCCATCTCTCTATGATCACTTTTTCCACTCGGTCGTTCGCCAATAATTGACGTTGTAAACACCCCTAAGTATTGTCACAAATAGCTCGCTGTGGTGTGTAAACAGCATTGTTTCATCCGTGTCTCAAATAAGCAACCTATAATTTTGGACAATTTAAGTGAAAAATTAAGACGACCCCTTCCCCTGGCGCGTTTTGGGTTAGCGCCAGTTCATCATTGATTTAGGGGTGGAGGGGTGGTTTTATTTCTTATTTTATTCTGACCAAGCTAGTTCATCTTCGGTATCAATAATACTAATCAATAATAATGGCCGATTAAACATCAGAATTGTCTTTCATGTCATGGATATTGAAATGTTAGTGAAAATGTGAATAAAAATATGCACTTTCTTTGGTTTGGTCGCGTTGATAAATCAATAGACCAATTTCCATATATTAAAATTCAGCCTAACACAACAGACCTCAGCACGAGGCTCTGGGGAATAAACCCAACAAACTCTGTAGTTATTCTTCAGAGCCTCGTGCAAAGGTCTATGGTCTTGTGCTGAATTTCAATATATCGAAATTGGTCTATTTTTCAATTCGGAGGTGAACAATTTGACTTCTGAGGCAGAGGACGGGGGCTTTGGATGATTTGAAAGAAACAACCTGATATTCTGCAAGTATACTTGTACTGACCACTGCCGAAAAACTTCACCTACGTTCATTGAGCCGAAAAAAAGTGCATAAAAGGGTTAAAAAATTTTTTATGCCAGTACCAAATCAGCCACCCACTCCTCAGAAGTCAAATGGTTACCCCTAACTGAAAATGATTTATAAACTGCGACCGTGCCAAAAGCGACAGGTACTGGAACCTTATTAGTTAATCTTTAAGTAAACGCATTTTTTCTTTCTCTTTTTTTTTACCCTTCGCTAGCGCATCCCGAGGCACCGATGTTATGTTGAAGTTCTGATCAAAATAATTAAGCTACACCAAGGATTGATAAAAAGATTTGAAAAATCTTGGTGAAACCTTGGCGAAATGGTGTACAAACCGATTTGCTTCTTTCGCAGGCTATAATTCAATTAATAATGGTAATTGAACTGAGTGGAGTGCAATTTGGTCTGAAATCATACGCGTGATTTCAAAATCGAACGAGCTCAAGTTCTTGCGGCGCCATTTGTTTCAAGATATTTCCAAGATGGCAGGTTTCTAACAATATAAATGACCATAAAAACAAGTTTAAGGTGTCACGCGTATGATTTCAGACCAAATTGCACTCCACTCAGTGCAATTACCATTATTAATTAATTAATTACTCGATTAATCAGTCAGCCTTCGCTGATCAAAAATATGTAAATGTAAATGAATTCCACCACCAAGAAATGCTGTCACCTGAATTCCAAATATCAAGTTGTTATTGATCATTCTAACATTCATAGACTGACGTTCGGTTTACTTTACTTTTTTTTTCTACAGCCCAGGATGCCGCAAATGCCACTACAGCACCTCCGCCTGACTGTGAGTGATAGAAATAAGTCTGAACTGATTGGTGATATTTTGAGTAAGCTGACTGACTGACTGACAGATCGACTGACCGACCGACTGACTGACTAAGTGACGGACGAACTCACTGACTGACTAAATGACTGACTGACGGACTGACGGACTGAGTCATTGACTGATGGACGGACCGAGATGGACGGACCGACTCACTAACTAACTCACTTACTAAATGACGGATCGAAAACTGATCACTGACTGACTGACTGACACACTGACTGACTTAATGTTATCATTTTTTGTTACATATGGATACAAGTCGCAAAGTTCAATACAAATCTTTACATTTTGTCATTAACTGCATGCACACTGTGATCTGGGATATCTGTCGTTTATTAGTACATTCATTTGTTGTTTCTTGACAGCCCTATCTGTGGTGTGCACTTACGAGTATATGATGGTTTACCTGGAGCACACTAAGCATCCCAACCTGGACATGGATAGTATCACCCTGAAAGACGTCAACTGCAAATTAGCTGACCTGGGAGACTTCAACAGAACTCACTTGAGGATGGAAGTGCCACTGGACGGCTGTATGACCAACCATACCACTGCAGAAGATACCATCACTTACGCCAACAGCATAATAGCTGAGACTCGAGCTAGTCAAGGCAGCATCTTGATCTCCAGAGAGTTCCAGGCGGAGTTTCCATTCAAGTGTACTTATCCACGGTCTGCCATTTTGTCGGTCGCGAGTTTTTCTCCGCGGGAAAAAGTCATCTACACCAGAACAGGTAACGAGCGGAGTCCGGGCCCAATCCCCAATTCCCTCTGTGAGAGGCGCCTGCAGGGGATCATGGTAGTTGTATTCATCATCTTGGACTGGATATTTGTTTTGATGAATACAGCTACCATGATTCCCTGCAGGCGTCTCATAGGAAGAATCGGCCATTTGTGCCGTTTAAATGTTTTTGCCCTTTTGGGCCTGCGCATTGACCCTGAAAGTAAAACGACCACTGTTAAGACAGTGGAAAGTCATGTTTATTTGGAAAGTTTAAATCATAGGCTGAAAATAATTGAGCTGTGTTTTGCCAGTCATACGAGCACGATCGTATGACTGTCACGCTGGCTCAGTTATCATGGGGAAGGGCTGGGAAAGAGCATAAATAGTAACGGCTTACTATTGAGAAAATCTGGCATAATGAC